TGAGTTCGAGGCCAGCCTGATCTACAGAGCAAGTGCCAAGATAGGCTCCATAACTACACAGAGAAACCCTGTCTGGAAAAACAAAACAAACAAAAAAAGTCAGGTGTGGCGACATGTGCCAATAATCTCAGAAGGAATAAGAATTCAAGGCCAGTCTGGGCCTACATGGAGACCTTGTCTAATAAAATAATGAAGAATAGTTTTCTTTTCTTTTTTTTTTTTTTTGAGACAGGATTTCTCTGTGTAGCTTTGGAGCCTGTCCTGGCATACTCTCTGGAGACCAGGCTGGCCTCTAGCTCAGAGATCCGCCTGCCTCTGCCTCCCAAGTGCTGGGATTAAAGGCATGCGCCACCAACACTCGGCTAGAATAGTTTTCTTTTATTTTTCCCTACATAACCAAAATTTCTGACATATCACAACTCTACTGTACAATTTCTCAATCCTTGGGATCAGATAAGCTAACATTCTTGCTCCCAAATCTGCTAGTCCTTAGCAACTGCTAAGAAGGCAGACAGATCTCTGAGTTCAAGGCCACCCTGGTCTACAAACCAAGTTTCAGGACAGCCAGGGCTATACTGAGAAACCCTGTCTCAAAAAACAAAACAAAACCCCATGTATTACCCTTGTAGATGACTGGAGTTGGATTCCCAGCACCTATGCCTGCTGGCTCACAACCACCTGTAACACCAGCTCCAGAGCATCAAATACCATTTCATGTCTTTTCAGGAATCCCACATAAACATAACACACACACACACACACACACACACACACACACACACACACACACACACTTTCCAAATTGGGGGGAGGGGCACTTGAATATAGTTCTAGGGAATCGATCTCTGTGAGTGCCTGCACTAGTGTACACACACACACACATCCCTATGCTGATATCTACACAAATAAAATTACAAACAAAAAGAGCCAAACCAAACAAAAGAAATCCAGCTTCACAAAGATATGTCATTCAAAGGGATCCAGCGCCATCTAATGTTGAAACAGAACCATGTGCAATTAGTTCACAGAGCACCTATGCTTCTCTCCAGAGGGCAGAACAATTCCCTATGCCCCTGTGACTGCTACAGTGCTTCAAACGTGACAGCAGTTTGGGAACACTGGATTTACCCTATTAGAATAGTCTTGTTCTGTTATAAAGATAGGACCCAAGTTATTCAAAAAACATCCCCATTAGTAAATATTTAGGTGACTGACAATTGTCATTTTCAAATGTTAAAATAATCCTTTCAAATGTATATCTGTACAACTACTCACTTATTTGCCCAAATAATTTTAATTACATGCCAGTCTGTACCAGGGACTACTGGAAATGGTGGACACCAGCATTCTATAGTGAACAAGTTAAAAAAAAAAATCCTCTAAGACTGACAGGCTATTATAGTAAAACAGAGGGTAAGGATTAACAGAATGAAGGATGCTATTTAAATGGTCAGGGTAGACATCTAAACACAGAACACATTGACATGAAGAACAGGCATATTAAGAGGTCTGGACAATGTTATTCCAAGCAGCAGAGCCCCTGAAGCAATAATAAACTTGTAGTGTTAAAAGCAGGTCAGAGTGGCAAAAGGAAAGCAAAGGGGTCTAAAGAGATGGCAGAGTGGTTAAGAGCACTTGTTGCTCTTGCAGAAGACCCAGGTTTGATTCCCAGCACCAACATGAAACCTCCAGCTCCAGGGGATACAATGCCCTCTTCTGACTCTACCAGGCACCAGGTACGTGTATGGTGTACATACATGAACACTAAATCTAAAAAATTTTTAAAATTTTCTCTAATATACCAAGAGACTGGTAATAAGATGGAGAGGCAAGCAGGGGCAGGATCTGAAGGCCAGGATAGGAGTCTGGATCCTCCTGAAAGGATTCCAAGATGGGAGGAGGCATGAAGAAAAGACCTCTCTAGTTTGTTCTGCAACTACAGAAGACTGAGGTAGGGCTACTGCAGATCAGTGGTCAGTGGGTACGTACCACAGCAAAGGTTAAGAGTAAAGCCTGGATTCCAGCTCACATGTTGAAGGCAGAACAGATTAGCAGAAGGACTAAGTGGGGGAGTGTGAATGATGGTAGGTAGTGATAGGTTGGAGGTCAGCTGGAAGAGTGCACCCCACAAACCAGGTATGATGGTGCGCATCTGTAATCCCTGCACTGGGTAGGCACAGAGGCAGGAAGATCACAATTTCAAAGTCATCTTCAGAGCACAGCAAGTTCAAGGCCAATTATGGGTACATGAAGCCACTCCAAAAAATGAAAAGATTAGCTGGTGTGGTCCTCGACTTTAATACCAGCACTTGGGAGGCAGAGGCAGGCAGATCTCTAAGTTTTGAGTCCAGCTTGGTCTACATACACAGCAAGTTCCAGGACAGCTAGGACTGTACCACAGAGAAACTGTCTCGAAAAACAAAACAACAAAAATCTAGGTATAGTGTTGGGCCAAGAGATACTTCTCTATCAATAATGCATAAGTATGTACATCTTCTCACTATTTTTGCTATCAGCTTAGAAAAATCTTTTAACCTGTTATTAGGAAGCCCCCCTCTTTTTGAGTTGAGGACTGAAGGCTGAACCTTAGTGACCTACCACTGAGGTAATCTCCAATCTCCAACCCTTAGTAAACCAAGCGACTGAACGAACACTCGTTCTACTTTTGCCTAGTCACACAACTCTTACCACTTTTAATAATTCAGAATTCCAAATTCCTTTTTTTTTTTTTTTTTTAAAGACAGGGTCACACTCTGGTCTGGAACTCAGAGATCCTCCGTCTTCTGTCTCTAGAGTGCTAGAACTAAAGGCACACACTACCATGTCTGTCCCTAATTCTTTTTGTGTGTTCTTTGTGTATTAATAAACCTAACCGGGGCTGGAGAAATGTCTCAGCATTTAAGAGCTCAAAAAGCTATCCCCTAAGACTCCACAGTCACCGTTTGTCTATCTTCATCCACTTCATCAGTTCTTTACACAGCTACGTATGTACATGTACGTGTACAAAAACCATTATCGTTCTGTTCTAATCGTCCAATGCTTTTCTACTAAAACACAAATTCAGACTCTCAGCATAATTCTTCAGCTTACCAACTCATCCGGACTCAGGACTCCGAACTGCACTCGCTTGATGGTGCGCAGCGGGCATGCGCTGTCCCCGGAGGGGGGGCCACCCCCGTGCATGGCGAGGCAGGCGCGCTGCGCAGGCGCAAATCTCGCTACAAAAAGCCTGCGCCACCGCCGCTTAAGTGCTCAGACCCCGTCAGGGCGGCCGCCGGGAAAGATCTCCCCGAGCAGGGAGGGAAAGGCCGGAGGAAGGAAAGGTGGGGGAGGGGAGGAGGCGGGGAAACGAAGAGGGCAGAAGGAAAGCCTTTTCTCCCTTTCCGGAGACTTGTCGGCTCCCAAGAGGGAAACAAAAGAAGGGAGGAAAGGAGGAGGTTTTGGGAGGGAGGAAGAAGAAGAAAAGGGGTAACGAATAAATAAGTAACCGGGATCCTGAACGGCAGAGGTTACGGCAGTTTGTCTCTCCCCCTTCCGGGAGCCACCTTCTTCTCCAACCGCCCCGGCCGCGCTCTCGGCGCTTCTGAGGAGAGAACTGGCTGAATGACGCCTTTTATAGATTCGCCCTTGTGTCCCGCCCCTTCCTTTCCCGCCCTCCCTTGCGCTACGGGGCCGCCCGCACCGGCCTGCAGGGAGGGAGCGCGCGCGCGCGCCGGCGTTGTTGACCCTCGGGCTCCGGCTCCCTGGTTGGGTGTTCTTTTGACGTGACAGGAGGAGGAGGAGAATTCTTTGGGTCCTGCCGCCTCACCGCCGCCGACTTCCCGTGCAGTCCAGCTTACGGCTTGCCTTTGGCGTACAGGCTCCTTTCCAGCGGCAGTGTCTCTTTAATATCTCCCCCCACACACCTGGAAAATGGTTTGTTCCACGCATCGGTGACGAAGGCGGGGCCAGTCGGGTGGGGGGGAGGGTGTTCCGGGGGGGGGGGAGGGAGGGAGGGGCGGGCCCTCCGTCATGAATATTCAGTTTCCCGCTGAATATGCATGAGGCAAACAAGATGGCGAGCCCTAGCAATTGGAATTTGTCGTGAGGCCTCCCAGGGTGGCGGGGCACTTCCTGTCCTCTACCGGCTACCCGGAGCCCTGGCCTTGGACCTCCAGCCTGAAAACCGGAGGCCTGTACTGCAAGTAGGGTGGCTGCTACCCCAGAGCCGCAGATCACGCGACGGCGACCACCCGAGGAAAGCAGATTAGTGGTGGGGCAGGATAGGAAAGTCATGGGGAATTTGAGGTCAAGGAATGTGAACTTTTAGGAAATCCACCTTTTAGAAATAAGGTGGCGGCTGAGTGTCTCGAGGAGGTCTCCAATAAGAGCGTGTTTCCACTCCCTCCAAAGCAGACACCAACTGCACAGCACCATGTTTGATGTCAGTGCTACGTCACCACCCGGACCGGGAGCCCAAGGGAAAAGGAACACTCCCCTCCCCCAGTGCAGTTGCTGGCTGCCTGACAACCTGTATACTCCATCTCTGATGCTCTCCTCTTTCCTGTTTGTGGAATTATTCACCATGGCCCACTTCCAGACGGGGACTGAGACCTTCCTCGCTGCTTAATGATGCCCTTGTCCCTTGGACCCAGCCTGAATTCCATGCCCTGGCTTCCTGTATTGCTTCAGGTCCTCCCCTCTGCATCAAGTCCCGAGACACCCTTGAATCCCAGTGCATACCTCTCGTTTGTTTTTACATTTTTATTTTGTGTGTGAGCGAGCGTGAGCGTACCACAGGGCACATGTAGAAAGGATAATTTGTAGAAATCGGTTCTCTTCCTCTGCCACGTGAGATAGATCTTAGGTTGTCAGGCTCTGCAGCACTAGCCTTCACCTGCTGAGCCATCTCGCCAGCCCTCTACACCAGTTATTTTTGAGGCATTTGTTCTTCCATGATTTTTATTCCAGTCTCTCCTATTTACCCTGTCCCACCCTCCCCCAGGCTCTCAAGTTTGATTTCACTCCTCCATTTGCCCTTCCTTCTCACAGCTGAGGTTCTGGGCAGTGATGACGGCAATGCTGCCCAGCACAACCCCTGCTCCCATGATGTCAGAAGGTGCCACGGACTCATAGAGCACATAATACTGCAACATCAGTGCTACCACCACCTCAGAGTGCAGGACAGCACATACCAGGGCAGGGTGGGCCTTGGTGACCGCGTAGCTCACACACACAAAGGAAACCAATGCAAGGAGCCCCACTGCCACCACGCAGCTCCAGCTCAGAGGGTCTCTGGGTACCACAGGTGTCTGCAGCATAAAGAGGCCTGGTACAGAGACTGTTAGTCCCACCAGGCCAAATAGGAAGGCCACTGTTGGTAGGCATGAGGGGAAGTGTAGAGAGCGATAAACCTGTAGCCCCAGTGACAGTGCCAGACCTCCCAGGAAAGCCAGTACATAGCCCAAGGCTGTGTAGAGACCTGTAGTCCCCTCTTGTAATGTCCCTAGTCCAGGTCCCACAATGATGATTAGTCCAAGGGTGCTGCCAAACAGGCCACACCAGGCATAGCCACTGAGACCCTGGCTCTCGAGGCAGAGTGCAAGGAGGGCAGAGCACACGGTGGAAGAACCTTTGCGAACAGTGACTGCATTGCCTGCGGGCACCACCTGAACGGCACTGTAGGCACATCCAATGCTGAGGACGTTGAGCATGGCATGAAGGAAGGCCCGAACCCGAACATCAGGAGGTCCCAGCAGTGGATCACCACGAAATTTAAGTAACAAGGCAATGGGAAGGTGGAAGAGACATCGAAAGATGAGCAGCTCCAACGAGGGCAAGTGGGAGGTCTGGTACGCCATACGGGAGAATGGGCCCACGAAGCCAGCAGACAGGCCTCCACCTAGCAGGGCCACAAACAGGCCCTTGGTGGCATCGGAGGGCCCGAAGCAGCGATGGTGATGGTTTGAGGGGAGGCTGGCTGGAGTGGAGGGTGGCGATGGCTGGGTGAAGTCAGGTAAGTTGAAATAGGGATGACTGGCAGCCTGTTAGAAAGAAAGGAGCTTAGACCACAGCCTGGGCTACAGGGGGTAGGGTGAGTGCCAGGCTGAGATCTGGGACCCTTTAAGGTAGTAGAGGAACTCCTAGGAAATAGAAAGGGCCTGAAGATGGATATGGGGGTACAGTGTGAGCCTTGGGCATCTAAAGCAGGAAGCCGGGAGTGAATAGTCTCTCTGGGAACATCATGCTCCTGGGAGGGAAAAAGGAGGACCCGGGGATACTCCGTTCATTTAAGGAAAGGGAGTTAGCTTCAAATGCCATGTATCCATATGATGTCACAGGCGCCAGGGACTTCTGGTTACATCATTATGGATTTCAGTTGTGTCTCCAGGACCACTGGGAAGTGTACAGGAGGAGGAAAGGAGAATATCCAGACGTTGAATGTTGTCCCTCTATTCCCCTTTGCCCCGGTACTCACCATCTCTTCTTGGACTTCCTCCTCTCCTGGGTCCGGTTGCCTGATCCCCTTCAGAGCTCCAGCCATTATGACTTGGTTGGAGTGGGGGTAAGGTTCTCCCCTGGAACCTTCCTGAGGGGGAGGGACTATTTTCTCATAAATTCCAACTCTGTTTTGTTGCTGTTGTTTATTTTGGGGGTTGGTTTTATTGTTTTTGTTTTTGTTTGGTGTGAGTTTTGAGGGTGAGGGGGAAAGAGACAGGCTCTTCCTATAGGCCAGGCTATTCTGGAATTCACTATGTTGTCCAGACTGATTACAAGTGTGTATCACCATTCCATGCTTCTTTCCATCTTTGTTGCTATGACTCCAAGTTAATTCTCATTTTTCTCTCTCCCTTTCTTCCTCCCTCCCTCTCTCTCTAACTCTGTAATAAAACTGCTTTTGGTTTATGTTTTGCCTCATTTTATAAAGGTTTTTGGTTTCTGTATATGTGTATTCATACTCATACAAATGTGAAAGCCAGAAGGTAAGATTAGGTATTTTTCTTTAGGCTTTTGTTTAAAATGGGGTCTTTGGCAGGTGGTGGTGGCTCATGCCCTTAACCACAGCTCTCTAGAGGCAGAGGCAGGTGAATCTCTGTGAGTTCGAGGCCAGCCTGGTCTACAAAGCTACACAGAGAAACCCTGTCTTGAAAACCAAAAACAAACAAAAAATAGGGTCTTCATTGGCCAAAGCTTGCCTAATAGACTAAGCTGGCTGGACAGAGAACCCCAGGGTTCACATGCTTCCATTGCCTCCACTTTGTGGTTACAAGCATGTAATGCTCCTGCTTGGCGCCTCTCCTCTCCCCCCCTTTCTGGGCGTATATGTGTATGCCGTACATGTGAGAGTGCGCGCACTTGTAGCACAGGGAGCATGTAAAGGCCAGAGGACAGCTCAGGTGTCTGTCCTTACCTTCCACCTTGTCTGAGACTGAGTCTTTTACTGTGTGCTCTGAGAGCTCCTGGGGATTCTACTGTCTCTGCCTTCCATCTTCCATTGGAGGAGTGCTGGGATTACAAAATCAGTACTAGGTCTGGTTTATGTGGGGCTTAAGGATCTAAACTCCGAGCAATCTCCCCAGCTTTTTTTTTGTTGTTATTTTTTGTTTTTGTTTTTTTGTTTTTTTTTCCAGACAGGGTTTCTCTGTGTAGCAGTCCTGCCTGTCTTGGAACTCATTTTGTAGACCAGGCTGGCCTGGAACTCACTGAGATACACCTGCCTCTTCCTCTTGAGTGCTGGGATTAAAAGTGTGTGCCACCAATGCCCAGCTAGGTCTTCATGTTTGTTTGACAGCACTTTACCAAGCAAACTATCTCCCCACCTCTTCTTTGTTTCTTTAATCTTATTTTTTAATTTTATTTTGTGTGCATGGGTGTTTTGCTTGCATGTGTGTATATGTACCACTCTTGAGTGCTTTGTGCCCTTGGAGGTCAGAAGAGGGTGTCAGATCCCCTGAAATGAATTACAGATATGTGTAAACCACCATGGTGTTTTGCCTGCATGTATGTCTGTGTACCACTCTTGTGTGGCTGGTGCCCTTGGAGGTCGGAAGAGGATGTCAGATCCCCTGAAATGAATTACAGAAGTGTGTAAATCGCCATGTGAGATTTGAGAGTAGGACCTGAACAAGCAGCCAGTGCTCTTAACCACTGAACCATCTTTATAGCCTGTTTTTGTTGTTGTTTTGTTTTGTTTTTTTAATTTAGTGTGTGGGCAGGTGTGATGGTCCACACATTAAATCCTAGCATTTGGGAAGCAGAAGAGGATCTGTGAGTTGCAGGCCAACCGGATCCACATACTGAATTCCAGGCCAGCCAGGGCTACACAGTGAGATCCTGCCTTAAAAGAAGAAGAGAGAAATAAAGGAAAGAAAAGAAAAAGTGTGTGGGTGTGTACATGTGAGCACACAATTTGAACCATTCCTCCAGTCCCAAGATTTATTTTATTTTTAACTATGTGTATGTGGGTGCATCGGTGCATGAATACAGGTCTCTGCAGAAGCTACAGATACCATCTCCCCTGCAGCTGGAGTTAAAGGTGATTGTGAATGGCCTGACTGTGGATGTCATCTGCAAAAACACTGGAGCAATCTCCCTAGCCCTCAGTTCTTCTTTTCCTGATAGGAGGTCTTGCCCAAGCTGGTCTCAAACCCACTACATGCTCTGTGGAGTCTGGCCTTGAAATCTTGGTCTTCATTTTGCTATCTCCCAGAGTGGTTGTGATTACAGGCGTGGGCCGCCCTGTTTAGCTTCACAAATGTCTGAAGGAACGTTAGGAGTGGGTTTTGTCTGTTCTGTTGCTGCTGTTGTTTAGAAAAGGGGTTGTTTTATAGCTGGTATAGGTCTGAGTGGCTTGGCACTTGCTATGGAGACCTTGAATTTGCGTGATCTTCCTGCCTCTGCTGCTCTAGTTAGTACCTGTACTGTAGGCTTGAGCCACCATGCTCCACAGGGAGAGTTTTGAGAGTTTGCTCCTCTGTCTCCTGATGGGGTTTTGTTTTGTATTTTTGAGACATGGGTCTCACTATGTAGCCCTGGCTGACCTGGAATTTGCTGCTTAAACCAGGTTGGCCTCCAACTCCCAGGCCTCCATCTGCCTCTGTCTCTGCCTTCCCAGTGGCATCATGCCAGACCTCTCCAGGGTTTTAAACTTTGCAACACCAGGGAGGAGTCTGTAGGATTGTTCCATTGAGCATTCAGGAATATGTTTCTTATGTTACATTTCTTACGCTTCTTATGTTTCTTATGCTTATGGTGTGCAGCTAGTACAGGAGGCCCACACCAAGGCCTGTGTATATGCAAGGACACAGACGTGGGTATTTCCACTGGTTAAGACCAACCGCAAGCTTTGTGTTTATCTGCACTAGTGATCATTCATGTAAGGCCCCCATTCTGCAAGGTTGGGGCCTTCCTTGCCTGTGTGTCTGGTGAAACTCTGTAGGCATTCCCTAGGCATCCCCTCCTCCCCCGCAAAGGGGCTGGGGGCCCTGTATGGATGCTGACTCTGGGTCTATAGGTTCCACTGTGCCCTATTTTGAGTCTACCATGTTGTATGTCTACGGCCCCGGAGAATGTGTACGGTGTGTGCGTGTGTGGTGAACAAATGTGCACAGGCAGCATGCTCTAGGCGATGTGCACCCCTCACTGAAAAGTGTGCGGAGGGAAGGGCGGGAGTGGGGGGTGAGTCCTTTCCCAGGGAGTGAGTGGTCTAGGGCAGTACAGCCCGGCCACCGCCCCGCAAGGTGTCCACCCTGCGTCTTT